TATTAGTTATATTGAAAAAACTAATCCAAATGTTCCCTAAGTAAATTTATTCAGTCTAATTATCATTTTAGTACAATTGTGTTGGAGTAGAGGTTTTATGGAAGTGTCAAATAATAAATTTTTATAAAATAATTATGAAAATTTTTTTAAATTGATAAAAAAATCAAAATTAAAAGTTTAATAACATAAGCTTTACTTCAAATATTACAAAGTTATAACCTTAATTTCTAATCATTCAAAGGCTTTCAAAAAAAATATTGTTTGATTTTATTTCAATTTTTATAGTAACTAATAAGATTACATACAAATTAAAGCCGCTTCTGACCTGTTCGGCTTTGCTCCACGTCGAACATATTTATACAAGATGAAAATTAAAGGGTTTGATTCATCAATAGTACAGAAGTTGAAGGGCTTTCTTTGTAGTTTTTCTTCTCTGTAATATTTATTAACAAGCTCGGTGGTTTACAAGGGTCTCGGCTTTCATTCTTCGTGCAATCTAGCTCTAGCATCGGAGAGGAGATATACAGAGGGCGGTCGAGGCTTGGGAGAATCCTTAGCACAACAAAACGAAGATGTCGGGCATGGGAGATGGGTACGTGGGCACTGCCCAAGACGCCGTGAGGATCCGCCGGCTGGAGAAGCAGAGAGAAGCTGAACGCCGCAAAATCCAAGAACTCAAGACCAAGTCGGCGTCTGGTAAGGGCCAGCCTGGTCTCCTCCAATTTGGTTCAGGCGCTTCCGAGGTTTGTTCCGGATGCTTCTCTGATCAAGCGAGCTGTTTTTTATTGCCCTGTCTGCGCTATTAGGGTTTATTTTTGGTTAATTTGCCCAAATTGAAACTTTTTTTTTTTTTTTTGTTTTTCTTCGCGAATCAAGAAGTGTAAATTATAATGATTCTGATGGAAATTTGTTTATTTGTTTGTTCAGATTCTTGAGACTGCATTTAAGAAGGAAACAGTGGGTTTGGTTACCAGAGAGCAATATGTTGAGAAGGTAATAGGGGCTCTTCAATTCTTTTAATTGTTTATTTGGAGAAATTATAATGTGTATGACTGACTGACTTGCTGTGGAAATGATTGATAGAGGGTTAATATTCGAAACAAAATTGAAGAGGAAGAGAAGGAGAAACTGCAGAAGTTACAACAAGAGTAAGTCATTAATTCTTTTGCTATTTTGTGGGTAAAGTTTGTATTTGCATTCTGGGTTCTTTTGTTAATATGTTGCTTTATTATCTAACGTAGGGAGGAGGAACTTCAGTTGCAAAAGCGTAAGAAGAGGAAGATTAAGGGCAATTCTAAGCTGTCTTTTGCTGATGATATGGATAACGGAAGCGAAGAGGAAGATGGAGTGAATGGTAAGTATTTTTTCTGTTTATTCTCAAAAATGTTAGAATCCTGCTCTGACATGAGGAGTTTTTTGAGGCGTTTATATATTTCCTTGCTTGGAGATGCCTTAAAGTTAAATTCTTTGACAGTATTGACCTTGATAGATTATGCTGCATTACAATTTGTAGCTTGTACTCCATTTAACTCATTGTAGAGAGATTAAGATTAATGATTAATCTACATAAACATGTATGTGGGCAAAGCTATATTCTAGCAGTTAATAAGATTTCTCTCCAACCATGTTGCAGATTGTGAGTTATTTGAACATGGGAAGATAGTATACATTCCTTCTGACTTTCTTCTTTCAAATTCAAACTGTTATGACAGATGTTTTACCTTTTGGCATATGTGTTTATTTAAATGTTGTGCTTGGTTGGCACCAGGAGGAGAATGTTTGTTATGTGGAATTGGATCAAATTAGAAAAAATAAAAAAGAGGAAAACTTTTGATGGTCAGAGTGGCTGTATGATGCCCAAATCTATGGTTCAAAGAGTGGAACGCTTGTTGATATTATTTCTATTTGGTGTCTAGTTATGCTTGTGTCTCCATCTTCGCGCAGGGGAGTTTCTTCGATTTTCAATTGATTTTATGAACCATAACATGGTCTTTTATATTTATCCTGCTTCTTGTTATTATTCATGTTTAGACATGTCTCACGAGATGGTATTCACCTGCTCTGTGTGACTATGTCCTATCATCACTATGGACTCATAACTTCATTGTTGATTTGATGCTATGTTCAAGTTAATGTGATAGCTTCTCTTATGCAATATGCAGAAACTTTGGAACCAAAGAGGGTAGGATGTGGGAAATTTGGCAAAGATCCCACAGTGGAAACAAGCTTTCTGCCTGACAGGTGATATTTCTCTTTATATGTATGCTGTTGTGTGCTAATATGAATGTGTGTGTGCACTTGGATTTGCCCGTGCTTGTTCTGGAATTGGGCCTAACATTCGAGCTTAGGGGTGATGAGGATGCTGTTTCAGTGAGCGAGAGGCAGAGGAGCAAGCTGAGCGTGAAAGGCTGCGGAAACAATGGGTTCGTGAGCAGGAGCAAATTAAGAGTAATTTTCCTTTGCTCACTGTCCTTTTTAATCTAGATGTATGAGGGGTAGTGACTCCTAAATTAAGCATTCTATTTATTATTTATTTATTTATTTTGTTTCAGATGAACCCCTTCAAATCACCTACAGCTACTGGGATGGAGCAGGCCATAGAAGGGTGATCCAGGTTACTAGAAGCTACCCTAATTGTCTTTCATCCATCTGCCTTTTGTTTTCTGATTACTTTGATTGAGCGGCAATCTAATTGGTCTTCCTATTATATCACTCAGGTACGCAAGGGTGACACCATAGGAGAATTTCTTCGGGCTGTCCAACAGCAACTTGCACCGGAGTTTAGAGAGATTAGAACAACTTCAGTGGAGAACTTGCTTTATGTGAAAGAAGATCTTATCATTCCCCATGTGAGTTGAATGTAATCCAATGCACTTCACCATAGTTCTTTTATCACCACTATGTTGAATGTGTGCTAACTACTTTGCCCTCATTTCACTTGGTTCTATGTCTGGAATTTCAGCAACACAGTTTCTATGAGTTGATTGTCAACAAGGCCAGAGGCAAGAGTGGACCGGTAATTCTTAATGCTTTGAATTTTGTGTTTGTAGGAGCTGCATATATTGTTACTGGTTTCTCAATCATTCGATCAAGTTGCGAGAATGACTTTGGGAAATGATAACTTGATGTCATGCATTTCTGTTTTTGGCATGTTTAGATTATTAGACAAACTCATCTACATCTCAGTGTTTCCTCATGAGAGTTAACTTAAAACAGGTTGCTTATCAATGACTTTCTCATTACTGGTTTTGTAACAGCTTTTCCATTTTGATGTCCATGAAGATGTTCGGACAATAGCCGATGCTACAATTGAGAAGGATGAGGTATTATTCTTGTTATGACAATTTTGTTAATGTATTATATTGAATTAATTTGTGTGTCGAACTCATTTTCCCTGACATTTAACAGTCTCATGCTGGGAAAGTCGTTGAGAGGCATTGGTACGAAAAGAACAAGCATATTTTCCCTGCTTCAAGATGGGAGGTGATCTCTCTCTCTCTCTCTCTCTGCACAAACCTGAAATATACTTTCTTCCCTAGATAATGATTATGTCCTCTAGACTGACTTGTATTCCTCATTGTCTTATCAATGGCAGATATATGATCCAACAAAGAAATTTGAGCGGTATACCATCCACGGTGATTAATTCGTTTGTGGACAGCATATTTGCTATTTGAATTTCTTGTGTGAATTCTTTGATGGAAGCGGTTGAAAACTGTTTTCTTAAATCTGTTGCGTGAGGCTCAATTCTTGTATCCTCATCGCCGTAGTAGTTAGATTTTGAACTTAAACCGTATTAAGATATCAGAAGGTTGCTTGTGAATTTACCATCACAATTTCTCTTTCCTTTATATGTTCTGTACGGAATCAATAAATTATTCAATTTAAGACTTCTTA